TTAGCTGTTTGTTCAGCAGAGGTGCTTTCCAACAAAGGAGCAGGCTTTGTGTCAGGACCATGGGTTTATGTTATTTCCTATCTGTTTTTCCCATCATTTTCACAATTTCACCATTACACCGCTCCCCCCATCCCTCCCACCTGTAATGTAGCTCAGTGAGCGAGGTGTGCTGCACATGGGCATGGTGGGCACGGAGTAAGGGGTACCATGGGAAGCTGTAGAGCCATCCCTCTTCCCCATAGTTATCTCTGCTGACCAAGAGAGCCGAGAGCTCTTCCTTAATCCTCACTGCAAGTCATTTAGTTCCTAAGTGGGATTGAAAAACCCCGGGTGGGTGACTTAGCACATTATTGGTGGTGAGAGTTACCATGGGTGACCTGCAGAGTTGAAGAGCTGTCTCCTTTTGGTTTCAGTTGTGGACTCGTTCATTGCTTTGGCTAATTGGGAACTGGTTTTATTCACAACAGGAATTCCATTAGCGGCATTGTACTAAACTGCTGATTTTGTTTTGATATGCTGAGCACTTTCCTTTATTAATTTTTCTTTATTACGGGAAGATGATGCTTGCTTTCTCCTCTTAAATATTTTCTGCCTCTCTTCCTTATGCTCTCTTTTTACTTTTCTTTCCCCCCTGCAGATTCACTTTCATTACCTGTAATCACAAAGGTCTTAGTTCTGTAAGGCTTGGCTTTGCAGGCCCATCTGCATGGTTTGTGGTGTTGCTTTTTGTTGGTTTCTTTCCCATTATGAAGTTCATACTAATGGTTCATTGTAAGCTTTTTGCTAAATCCCCCCTGTCCTTCCCTCTTCCTGTTAAGCCAGCCCACAGCCATAAGCACAACGATGCTGAGGATCCCTCAGCACAGCAAAGAGCTGCAGAATGGCACCGCTGGGGCAGAAGTGGGATGACATCACTGATGGATTTCACTGTGGCAGCTGCACAGGGACCTGTGTAGATCAAGCAGCTGATAAATGATGCACGCCATTCAGAGTGGGATGGGTGGGTGATGCAGCACAGCAGTGGCAGCTGTGGCAAAGAGAGGAAGGTGGAGGGCTGTCTTCACCTGTGCAGGGGCTCCCAGGTTTGTTTCCCACCTCACACACCCCTTCTGTCTGCTTGGTGTGTTGTATCTCCTGAGCTCCCCTCCTCCAGCTGCAGCTCCCCGCGGGTGCACATAACTGCAGCCTTCTCTGCTCAGTGAGGCGGTGGGAATGATGTTGTTAGCTCTGAATTAATTTGCTCTGTGAGTGTAAATCAGGCTCCTACTGTTATTCCAGTGAATTATTTTAAATGCCACGTAGAGACAAATGTGTGGATGCGATGCTGGAAGAACATACTTGAAGAGAGGTATTTCAAGTACACAGTTGTTGTTCCCTTTGTCATTAATATGTACTTTTAATAAACTGTGGATGCTGTTGGCTTCCAAAGCTGGCTGCAGCCATCCCTTGTTTCCTGCCCTGTCCTCACCCCGAAAGCTGCAGGCTGGCTGGCTTTGGGGGGAGCTGCCTGTGACCTATTTTCCATCAGTTCTGGGTTACTGCTCAGGGCTCTGAGCCAGACCATGGCAGGAGCTCCCAGCCAGCAGGCAGCCATAGGGTTCAGTCCTGCTGAGCTGTAACTCTGGAGGCACAGAGCTCTCTGGTATGAGGTGGGCTGTGCCTGGGGCCCAGCTGCTCTGCAGAAGCTGTGCTGGAGATATATCCTGTTTTCTCCAGGGAGGGTGGGAATCTGTTTTGGTGGTGCTAGGTTTTTGGGTTTTTGGGCTATCTACCTATTCATGTCTCATGACTAGTCATGTGTTCACTAATTCTTTGCACCTAGAATGTGTAAAGCAGGTCCTTGCTTTTGGAGAGGAGCTAGGACATGGTGAATAAATTCATCTCTCGTTGAGTCTCTGGAATATGTTTGCTCTTTCTCATCACTCAGTGCCATTCAGCCCTTCAGCAGATATCAGCCAGCAACTTCTGGCTGCCCATCTGTAAGATGAACATCACAAGGCCCCACTCCTCTTTTCCTCCTCACCACTCTCCGTTAGGCTCAGTTGCTCTCCAGGCTCAAGTCAGCTGATGACTCCCAGGAGCAAGCAAGCACCCTACATGCAGGCAGGTCCCTGTGGACAGCAAGCATGCCATTCCCCATGGCCCAGGGGCAGCAGTGACCCTACAGGGAGGGTGCAGCCAGCAGGCTGGGCTGGCAGGGCCATGCAGGAGGAACCCATCCCATTGTGAGCAGTGTCCTTTTGAGGGAAGCCCCAAGCTGCAGGGCATGTGGAGCAGTGTGATTCATTCATGTACCTCATTCCTCCATTTTGATCAAGCTTTACCCACGCTCTTCTCCAGGATGCTCTCGCTGCTCTGTGTCCTTAAGGTTATTCCTTGTGCAGACACCTTACTCTCTGTTCAAATACAAAGAAAAGGGTTTGTGCACACTCTTTTCAGTTGATATTGGAAGCGTTATCCATCAGCTTTTGTGCTCCTGTAACATGAATTCTGAGCTTACTCTTGGATTAACAACAGGAGAATACGGAGTTGTAATGCTTGCAGAGAAGAATGTCATACTACTGTTTGTGACACCCCCTCCCTATGTTCCTCTGTATGGGATTTGTTGCCATATTTAACAGAATCTAGCATGACAGCCATATGAAATGTGGAGAAATCTGCTTGAGTTAATTGGATGTAACTTGGAGCTCAGTGTTATTTTTAACAAAGTGTTACTCTCTGCTGTCTGATTGCCAGTGCCAGGTCAGATCCATGGCTTCAGGAGGACACAGAAGCCAGCTGTGGCCGCATCAGTGGATTGCAGTGTGACACGGAGATGAGCATTTGGTGGGGAGGGGAAGCAGGGCATCCAGACCAACTCCTGCACAGTAAAATCCTTGTCTGTCCTACTGGTACTGTGCAGCTGAGAAGCTGATAGACTGTTTTAGCCATTTCAGCTAACTTGTCTTCCAAGACTTTTGTACAGTTCTTGCTTCTTTTCTACTTGACCTAGTTTATACTGTGCATGTTGAGTCATTACCTACATTGAAAGTCTTCATTCTCCCACTTCCCTGATGGATTTCTAGTGCAATGGGTCACCGTTTCAGACTGTAGTTTTATTTATTTGTTTGTCATCTTTTCTCCCATGTAAGCTGCTTCAGAGCAAATTCTGGTCTTTTTTCAGTTCTTCCCTGGAACACAGCGTTCTTGGGAAAACATCTAATGACTATCTTGGACCATTCTGTCTTAAAGGACTGAGAACTTCTGAGTGATTATGGACTTCATTTTTTGGTGGAGTATGTCCATGTGGACTTTTTTTTAAGAGGAGTGGAAAAAGGAACTTGACTCTTTTCTGAGAGGCAGGCCAAATCAAGGCATAGAGACTGGAACTGTGTTATGAGCTGTGAGATCATGGCTCAGCAAGAATTGAAAAGAATGCTATCTGATCAAAGCCACAAGCTAGGTAGCATTAAGTTCCTTGTTGAGAAGAAAGGGTTAAGGACATCATTTTCTAACTTGAGAGAAGCTAAAATGTTTTCCTAGACTAAGAAAGATGATTATTCTGAGTGAAGGAGAAGTGGTTCATGCTTTCTCTGTTCTTCCTCTTTCTCTGCAATATTTTCTTCCTAACTTGTCTTCAAAGACTTTTGTATCATTCTTGCTTCCTTTCTATCTGACCTGGAAAGCTCTGCTTTCACTATAAGCTCTTGTTCACCTCTGTGTCCTGAGCTTCCATTAGTCTTGGATGAGTTTCTAGGTTTAGGTGATGAGTATCTTTGCTGTGCTGTATTTATTTGTTTATATTTTGAACCCAATAAATATTTAGTTCAAAAGCAGCTCTTAAACTAGTCATATAGAAGTTAAGTAACTGCACTGTACTGACCGATGCTAGAGTGAATTTACACCTGGCTCCTATTAGGCATATTTCTGATGCAGCCTTAATGTATAATGAACAACTTCACATGTAATGAAGGCAGTGGGAAGGATGATGTTTGCAGGTCTTGCTACACATGGAATGAAGTGAGAGCTCAAAAACCAGTCCAACCAATGCTTTCCCTCTCCAAGCTGTACAAGATCAAGCTAAATGCTTTTATTTCACTTGTTCTGCAAAAGTTTTAAGTATGACATGATACATAACTTTGACAGGAGTAATGATACCAGTGTCTGTATTTTCACTTCGCTCAGTCCCCGTAGAGAAGCCATGTTAAGTCTGTTAAACTCAAATTATTATTTACATCAGCTGCTGTCCTCTGCATCATGTGTGTCTTTCTGTTACTGCTTATTTCATGCATAGGAATTTTCTGTGAAGCCCACCTCTTTGTCATGGAAACCATTTTTCTAGCAGTTGCTATTCCAGAAGAATATGACTTCAAATGTTTTCTTTAATCATTAGCATTTTTCACAGATTTCGAGAACTCTTGCCTAGGCAGGTATGGGATGAATCATCGACTTGCTCTGAAGTGTATTTGCTCTCTTTTGTATTTCTTTCTTTTTCTAAGATCTTGAGGAGAGCTTAGAAAAAGGTTCCTGCCCGTGAAAGAGAGGAATTGCCATTTTCTTCCATGCAACAAGTGTGGATATCATTTTTTTCAGTGTCATGTTTGTGTCTTGAGACTTCAGTGCAGGTGCTCTCTGCAGACTGCTGAGCCTCAGCTACCTGCAGCTTATTCCATATTACTTCATGTGCCCTTCTGTGCTGGTGGTGCTAGAGGATACTAATATAGCAAGCACTCTTTTAGGGAACAAAGGGGGTTCTCAAACTGAATGGGTGGACAAGGAGGAAGGTGAACGTTTTCCAAAGGCTCAGAGTTTCCTTGGCCTGAATTGGCAGACACAAGCCTTTTACCTTGCCATTTTTTCTGTAAAATCACATTTGTGTTCTTTGTCATGGGCATGTCTAGTTTCCTTGTCTCTTCTCTACGCTGTTATTGCCTCCCTTACCCTACCAAGCTCATATTATTGGTGCAGCACTCCTGAAGACCTTGTGATGTGTAACCAATGAGTTCTTTTTGCTGTTGCAGTGATTGCTGATGGGGCCCTGGACAAGACAGCTCTGACAGACGATGTGGGAAGCGAGGAGGATCTGTATGAGGACTTCCGCAGCTCCAACCACCGCTATGGCCACCCTGGGGGAGGCGGAGAGCAGCTCGCCATCAACGAGGTACTGTGCTGGCAGCTTCTGGTGGGCAGGGGGAGGAACGATGCCAGTCCTTGGTTTGAACTGTAAGATGGATCAGGACCATACTGGTCCTGGCAAAGAGGATGAGTTTTCAAATGTCACTTACAGCTGGTTAATGGTGGGGTCTGAGCTTTCCTTAAAGGCACTCTCCCTAGGAGTGGAGGACAATGAGCAACATAATAATAGGATTTAGGATTTTTTTTTTTCTGCAAAAGTATAATGGTATTGTCTAATAGAACTGGCATCCTGTTAACACAGAGTGCTTTTTCAGTGGGGTGAATTAATAAGCTTTTCTGCTGGAAGAGTGAAGCATGTGTCTTACGCTCATGCATACACAGACGTTCTCCTTTTCCCCATACATTGGTACCTTTACATGACCTTCACTGAATGACAAGGCAGGGATAAGATATTTGTTACGTTTTCTTGTGGCTGAGCTATAACTGAGATGATGTTGACTGAAGCTCAGTGCCTGTATGTCAGATGTACACAGTGGTCATGGCCTGAGGTCTCTAAAAGCTACCAGTGAACTGCATAGTGAGGATAACAGCTTTTCTTCAAAACAACAGTAAATGTTCTTTGAGCAGTTTTCCTGCTGCTTGTGCTCAGAATTCATGACTACAGCCCTGGGAGTTGGGGTAAGGAATAGACTTACTGTATTTTCTTCCTGTGTTGTTTACATGCAGCGATTGTCAAACCATGGCTACAGCTTTTGCTTAAAGGTTAAACCTCAACAGTTTTGACTGGTTTTGCTCTAAACAGAAGTTTAACTTCAGTAATTTTTTAATTTTTCTTCATTTCCTGCACCCAGTGTGTTACACTTAAAGGAAATGCAACTTACCTTTGTTGAGTTGCATTCTCTCCCATTAACCTGATATGTTCTCGAGAGAGGCCCAGGCACCACAGAATACAATCCCATACTGTGTGCTGAAATTGTCAGGGAGAATTTGGCTTTCCTGCCATTCAGGTTTTCGACTTGGCAACTCTCTTCGTTGTGGCTCATGAAACATGAGCATCCTGTGGACTTTTTTTTTTTTTTTTTAAAGGAGAATGCAAAATATTTTACTTCTTTCCTTTTATTTGCACTTTATTTTTAAAGGAAATCTTCACAGCTCTTTAAAATCAGAAAAATTATTTAACTTGGCAGTATATCTCTATAGCCATCATATACGTTGTGCTTTTCTCTTCATCGTTCTCTGTTATTGAGGACATCTGGTTTTCTTTTTTTATTAGTTCATTTTACTGGAGTAAAATCCCATCATATAACTCCTAATAAGGAAAACAAGTGGATGTGTCCAAAGCAGGTATCATTTGTATCCTCTTTGAAGTATGTGTGGGTTTGTTGGCTGGTTGACTGGAAGAGACTAGTTTATCTCTGGCACATTTCCTAGAAGCTTGCCTGTTCGGGGGCCAACAAAGCTGTAAGAACAGGCAGTACATTATTTACTTTGTCAACAGATTTCTAGGGGTAATGAATCCATCACTTACCTTTGCTGAGCCTTAGCACAGTGCTTCCTTATGCAATTACTTCCTGGAACAAAAGAGTGCAGTGACATAAAATCTGAGTTGAAATACTACATTTGTGAGGTATGGATTTTACATGAAGAGAAATCTTAAGTGCTGCAACTATCTCCAATAGTTAAGAATCAGAAAAGCAGGAGCCTTCAGTTTGACTGCTAGACCAGAATCTGGGTATAGATTAATCCTAACTACTTCCAGTACTAACACTAGGAGTGATCTTGAGTGAAGACACTGATGGCCAGTTGTTTAGTCAAGTCTGCTGAGCAGTAGCATTGTATTCCAAATTGTATTTTATTGGTCGTGGATAAGGAAACTATGGTAACCACATTATTCTCAAACCTCTCAGAAGGAACAGCTTTCAGATAAACAGAGAAGGCTAAAATACATTTTTAAGGCATTTGGCAGTACAAATGTTGCATTTAAAAAAAAATAAAGCAACCACTGAGTTTAAGTTCATTTTGGATCAAGAGAAAATGGTTATGGAATAAAAAAGAAGCCTTTCATAAAACTCAAGTAATTTGTTGGCAGGAAGACAAGAGGAATAAAAGAGCTGGGAAGGTTGTACAGAGCCCACCTAGGAAGATCAGCATGAGTCAGTGTAGGAGCCAAGAAAAATCAGTCAAAAAGTAATAAAAAGGGTTTGGGATGGGAAAAGAGGCAAGGGAAGCAATTTTCTGGAGAAGTCTGTCTGATGCTCTTTCAGGTGTAGATCTTCATGAAAAGAGACTTTTGTTTTTTGATTGTCCTCGGTGGAGTTTACTTAGTGGTTGCTTTAGGTAAAGCTCTATCCTTTTCTTCTGCACCATAAGTTGGTAAAATGTGGCAAGAGAAAGTCTGTGTTCTAAATGCATTGTGGTTCTGACTTTGCAGTACGGAATACTATGCACAGGGTAGGCACAGTGTAAGGCAGCATGAAATATGGTACCTGTAGGCTGAAGCGGAGGAGTTGATGAATTAAGCATGTAAAAGCCTGCCTGCTGAGCTCTCAAGTGATGCCAGAGATAATGAGGAAAAATGCTGTTTATCAAATAGTTGGCCTTTGCAAATGGTCTTAGGCATGTTTGCTCGGACGTTTCTGATAGGCACCAAGAGTCTGTTTGACCCTGGTGCTGTGCAAGGGGTTCCTTGCAGCTATGGGCTTTGGGAAAAATGCTGTTGCAATTCAGCACAGAGGTGGAGTATTTGCCTTCTTTCAGCCCTAGGTGAGTAGTATTATCTCCATCTTATGAAAGCAAAGCAATAAATGTTTGGAAAACAGTAGCGAGACTCCCTCTATTTTCCTTATCTCTTCTGACTCTACTTTTGATAAGCTTGGAATTTGGTATGTGAAGTCTTGTTCCTGAGGAAATGCAGGGACCCACTGGAATCAGCAGTTCAGGGTTTTATGATTTTATCTAAGAGGTATAACATTGTTGCCTTATGTTTTAAAATGAGAGCATTGCAATATGTTACATATGTTCGTGTTTTTTACCAGTGCTTGTTGACAGGATGCAATTAAACTGATTAGTCTAATGTACATATTCCTGATTTAACAAAGTAATGCATATAGAAAAATGTTCAGGAAATCGCACAAACAAAAATAATCTCCCATTTACCAAAGGCAGCAAATGTTCTAACAATCCTATCTTGTCTTGCCAAGCAACATGCAACTGTGGCTGACGAGGCTATACAACATTTTTCTTGTGCTAAATTCTCATCTCACTGAGAATTTATCCTTCTGGAATAACCCAGAGCTCACGCAGGCACACCCAAGTGTAACAAGTAAGATACGTAAACTGTAAGGGGATCCACTGAAAATAATATTTAATAAATAAATGCAGTTTTAAAATACCAAAGACACGTTCATGCAGATCAGAACAAAGCGTTTCAACTTCATCAAATACAAACAACCTCCTTCATGGCAGTTTGGACATTATCTATCTGTATTCATTAAAACTTCTTGTGCTGTTTCGGATGACAAATTCTCCTAATAATTTCCAGGCAGAAAGCAGAATTATTGATCTTCCAATGAGCATTCCAGCGTAATCTGGGAGAGGGGACTTGTTATCACTTTTCTGTCTTAATGTGTATTGTTCTCCCAGCTGGTACTAAATGGTAAATAGAAATGAGTTAACAAATACCCTTCCCCTTTTTATTCTTCTGGATCCTTCATTCCTACTTTTGTGTCTTGCATACTTCTGCAACCAAGGTTGACAACTGTGGTTCAGAAGCAGCAATTATGATTTATTTGAGGAGCATTGTAGTCAGCACCTTGCTGTCGAGAACAAGAATTAATCTTTTCCCTGATGGACGTGAATCTTTATAAGATCTGAGTTTCTGGTCTTATGAGCTTCCATTCTTTGTGTATGAGAGTGTTCAGGGCAGAATTGGCAGCAGTTTTTGATACCTTGTGAGTTTAGTTTTTACAGTCCTCAGATCTGAAACTTCTGATGTCATTGCAGAGGGCTTTAAGCAATGAAATTGGATGAAATCGGTATATCCAAGCACTGTATAGCAATTGTTGTCTCCCCAAAGGCCAGGATCAGGAGCTAAGTGCTGCTGGGGGTCACTAGAATCACATTCCCTTTTTGCTATGAGCAGCTGCAGCTGTCCTGAGCTGCTTTCCCCTTCCCTACCATCAGGACATCGCTGAGGCAGGAGTATGCATAGAGGCTGCCAACACACGTTAAATACACACAGAAGTCTTTCTACAACACATAATTTTTTTTTGCTGGACTACACCAGACTTTCTCTAAAATAGCCCTACTTAATAGAAACACTTAATAGAAACAAAACAACAGAAAATTCTTGGGGCAAGAATAGCACTCAGGGGATCTGTCACACTTCTGGGAAAATGCTGAAGTGTTACAGAAGGGGCTTTGCTCATGCACAAGGAAATGCCTGCTTTGAGGGGACAGCCGCTGCCTTCTATGAGCAGAGCTGAGAAGGGAGCCGCTGTGTTTTGCCTCTCTGTGCTGTGTGCGCTCCAACATGGACAGACATGCTGAAAGAGGGGGTGGCACTGCCCAGACTTTTCTCTGTGGCTGTAAAACAGACCTAAATATGTCACTCAAAGGTAATAACTGGAGGCTGCGTGATGGCTTTGGAGTTCTTACGTCAGCCCTGCCAGCTGTTTAATTGCAAAGACTAACAGCTTCTGCTCTGTTCACACTTGTTAATGATGCTGTGTGTACTGGGGACTTGTAATGCCAGCAAACAGCAGACATCATTAAATGTACTCCTAGTTACCGGCCTGTGGAGTCAGGCCTGGCTCCACAAACAGCTTTCCTTTTGAAGAAGACATGATCCAACATTTAGCTCCTGAAGTTACTTCTGCCAGACCGTCTCCAAGCCTGCCTGTGTTTTTTTCAGCACATCCATAGGTTGCTAGCACTCTGCCCGATTCTCCTCACCACTTACAGAAAACACAGCATGACTGCTGATGCTAATAACAAGTTGTCTCTTTATGGTGAAGGCTCCAACCA